GACACTGCAGGCGGCAGCAGTGGCAGCGGCTCGGGCAGCAGCAGAAGCAGCTCACACCAGAGCCGTGCCCCACGTCTGTATTTTTTTCGGTCGTCTATATCCTGAAGACCCGTCTATTAGACGAGTCATCTACAATAGTTCATCTAAAGTCCAGTCGTCTATGCATGTCGTCTATAGTCGATTCATCTATTATAGACGAAGGATAGACGATGGGTAGACGGTGAGAGGAGTTCAATATGCTGGAGAGTGTCTGCTTGGGTTAAACCATGCCGCTGAGCTGATGTCTGTTCTGCATCAATGTTGGCAAGGTTCTGGCAGGCTAACACTGCCTGGCATGTAACGATTATCGCCATACTTACAAAACCCCAGCACATGCTGTGGGGACCAGGCAGTGCCCAGCCTCTCCCACTTCCTTACCACAAAACTGCAGCAGTTTGAGATAATTGGGCAGACTTCAGTGAAGCCCATCCCTCATCGACAAGCCCACAACAAAGGCTCGTCATGGTCCTTTATAACTGCAATGTCTGGCAACTTCCCAGCACAGGCCGGCTGGTTTTGAAAACTCTCACCAGCACAGGCTGTGATGAACAGCCATTCCAACTCCACCACCCTTGCCATGTATGCATGGATGCGTGGTGTAACACCACCCATAACCCGCAAGTCAATGCAAGATCATTAGCTGACAATAAAAGCTGTTGTTTAATATCCTTCTGCTTCCTGCCGAGTTGCACAAATCTGACCACAGCATTGCTGACATCCATTTTGGCGCCACGACATTAGCATATGCAGTTGGATATGCTACGAAATTCTATGATAGCTTATGAGCAACCGCAGAGCTTTTATCATTTTTGTCGGTGGTCTTGAGCAGCTGTGTCGTACTCGCGTCCCCTACGAGGGACGCGAGTACGGCAGATTGAAATTGAAGAAGATTCGTCTATCAGGGAAGGTTGTCAGCATTGCCCATCAGGCCTCGGTTTATCTGCTTAATTTAAAATCATGGATTCCACTTTTATTTTGAACCTTCTCGATGAAAATTGGTCGGCTTTTGAAGAGCAGGCAGTGTTTATCACGAAAAATGGTATTGCTTTTGATGCTGAGCTGGTAGCGGAACTTGTTTATGTAGTGCAGCCACAGCTAGTGAAGCAGTGCCCAGGCCTCGGCGAGACATTCTGCGCATTCCTGGAGGACGTTACAGCAAATCTATTTAGTGTAATTTCCTATAATTAGATAGTGACACAGGTGTCGCAATTACTTCACTGGTTATCACATGTGTTATCGAGTCAACGCTGCCTGGCTGCTGCGTTGCCGGTGGAGACGTCGCCAACAATGATAAATTATTCACAGACAATGAGCCAGTGGTGAATGTGGAGTGCAGGCAGAGTGTTCCTCTTGACGAGCCATCAATGGGCACGTTCGAGATGGGCGTCTCATAGCTTGGCCACCTAGACAAGTATGCAGAGGCAAATAGTGAAAAGCCACCTGAGAAAAGTTTGTCTTCAGAGGTGGAGACCTTCCTCGCGGCGAACCTCTCGGGTGCGTTTATACCAGCATTGGCCAGTGTTACCAGTGTTTACCAGCATTACTCACTGTTTCTAAGCATGCTGTTTTTGGTGCCTAGTTGATAGCAAGCCACAATGCTTACTGCAAGTTGAAATGTGATGCCTGCAGGTTGCAAGCTCCAGGAGTTTTTGCGCCTGTTCAAGCAGTTTCCAGGCGAGGCCTACACCCCATCTGCAGATACTTTGAAGGGTATCTACAATTCTTTGCGGGACTACCACCTTGGGAGCGACTTCGAGCACGTGGACATTGGCCCCAAGCTTGGCCTTCAGGACACAGTGGTCGTCTCTGTAAGGAATGACCCCATGGCTTTGGTAAAGGCCATGTTTGCAAACAAATCTGGCAGGGCTGTCCTCGGTCCGAAGCTGGTAATGGATCAGGATGGCCAGCGGGTTTTTAATGAGATGTGGACGGCGGAGAAGTGGATGGAGGCCAGGTAAACTTAGACTGGGGGTTGACATGCCCACAGGTAAACTTAGACTGGGGGTTGACATGCCCACAGACACATGTCAAACAAATTTGTGTCATGCCTAACGATGCAGTGCACCTGGGCCAAGCTGTCGCCCATTGTCTACCTCATGTTCGAACCAGAATTCTGGTCTGACAAGATGAACTTTGATAAGGCCGGCCGCCAGATTGGTCATCCATTGACAATCTCACTGGGTATGTTATAATTTCAAGGGCTGGTTATCCACAGCAAGGCCCAGTGCACCGTGTGTTTGCTTAGGATGACCGGCTTAAGCATGGTCCCCTGCTGGCTCAACAGGTAACCACCCAGTGGAGTTCCAGAGGACAGAAGAGGGCACCCATGTCATTGCTTTGCTCCCAAGCATTGCACCAAGGGAGGGTAAGCCTTAGTATTCATCTATGGTTATGTGGCTTTCCTTGGGCTTGTTTCCTGGCCCTGTTCCTGGGTGGGTACCCAGTCTGTGCACCACTCACATGCAGGTGAGGGCAAGGATAGCCTGTCCTTCCGGTCCCTGAAGCGCAAGGTCCTCCAGGCCGCACTTGATGTGGCCCTGGCACCCTTCAAGGACGCAAGCAAGGGACATTAGACACCTCAAGTTTGTCTTGAATGACCTGGTGGGGTTGCCCCCAGATGACCTGATTCCTGTTGTGAGTGAGGAGGTGATGGATGAGGTGAGGGCACGGAAGGATTTGCAGCCCTCGGCAGCTCGGGAAGAGCTTACCAGGGTCCTTATGGAAAAGGAAAAGGAGAAGCACTCATGGTTTAAGTAGTACTCAGTACTTGCGATGCTGGGATGGGTGGAGCCTGGAAGCGCATGCCTTGTGTATGCCTAAAGGAGACATGGATTTGGATACTGTGGATATTGATGTCGTTGATGACAACCAAGGTTGAGGTTACATCAGCCAAGGTTGATGACAACCACTGGTTTGCTAGTGTCAATGGCAATGACAAACCTGGACCCGGAACCTGAATAACATGGTGGGTGAAGCCCTGGTGGAAGCTCAGAGAGGAAACGATTTGAGATTGTAACACATGAATAAGGAACGATGCCCGCCATCTACTGCCGTCTAAAAGATAATAGCCTATACCCGACTGTCTATAGACAGTGTCTATATCCGACTTGTCTATAGATAACCGTCTATATCCACTTCGTCTATAGACGTAATCTATAGACGACCTGTCTATAGACGACTGGGTATAGACGGTCGTCTATGGG